ATTGCAAGCATTTAAAACCTGTTCCAAACATTGTAAGACACTTAAAAATGAGCGAAAAGGGACATCGGAAAGAGCTTCAAAAGCACTGAAGCCGGCTTCAGTGCTTTTGAAGTCTTTTCCTATGTCCCTTTTCGCTCATTTCTAAGTGTCTTACAATGTTTGGAACAGGTTTTAAATGCTTGCAATCGTTAGCCCACCTCCTGAACCCTATGCAAACTTAATTTGGTGTTGTTCTGAGTCGTCCTTAATTTTTGGTGATTTTTTGTTTTCCCTATTTAAATGCATTCCCTATTTAAATGCATCCATTCAATTGATTTAAATGGGGAAAATAAAAAAAATCACCAAAAATTAATGAAGACTCAGAACAAAACCAAATTAAATTTGCACATGTTTCACAAGGTGCACTATGGAATCCAAGCATTTAAAACAGGTTTCAAACATTTAAAGACAGTTTTAAATGAGCAAAAAGGGACATCGTTAAGTGAAATTCCCCCATAGAGAACATCGTTAAACGATGGGGGAAATTCCTCAAAAAAACCCATCGCTGTGTGAATTCATCGTTGTATGAAGCAATCGTTGTGCGAGGCACCACTGTATATTGGGCTACAATTCCCATGATCCCCAAGTAGCTTGGCAAATGACTATATTGGAGGATGGAAGCCATAACCACAACACAGCAGGAAGGCTCCACGTTGGAGGACATTCAGTGCACTATCTGCTTACTCTGCACTTATGATTACTGGCAAGGCCTTGTAGCTTGCTCCATCTGTTTGGGAGAGATGCCTAACTAATGACGCCCAGAACGAGGCCTCCAATGCTGTAGGTGGCCTAGAGAATTCCCTTCTACAAGTGTGGGCAACTTCCAGAAGTCTGTAGGCTACCCTCTGGCTTTTGGAGGGCTAGCCAAACCCTAAGTTTTTTCAACAAAATTGAAAAGTTCCTTTCTGCCCTCTGCTGGCAATAAAATAGATGTTTTGCATCCAAACCAGCCTTCCACCTTTTTCAGCCATTACATTTTAATATCTTTTATAACAGGGTGATCGCTCTTCATAGGTCTGGGTCTGGACATATTCATTCCTGAACGTTGCAGGATGACTCTCACTCCCACCACCCAAAGTTTGTTCTTATAAAACAGGATGGAAAAAATCCTTATGCCTAGTGACTAAATAAAAGAAGAAAAGTCTCTCTGTGTGGGGGGGAGCATTTGGGCCCCTGGGGGGGGGCTCACACAGAATCCACATGCTGCATGTTGCTCTCTCCTGCTGTATATGAACTTTAAGATTCACCGTTCTCCTTAACTGGCGTTCTACTGATGTGAGTTTATTTAACTCTTTGAGAAAAGAGAAGGAACAAAAAATTTGGTAGGGGACTGTGCTAAACATATCTTTCTAAATGACGCAGAAGGGGCCAGGCAGTTCAAAGAACAACATGTGCATTCTTCTGTTCCCCCCTTCTGGTCAGGAACTGATGATGTGTGTTGCTTTGGTACTCTCTCTTACGCACACGAAAGATCATCTGAGTCTAGTGTAGAAGGCAGGCTTGTCATACTGATTATGGAACAGCACATGATGGTATTCCAGAGAAGACAAAAAGCACCAGCGTCTCCTTAGAAGACCTGCTATATAGGAGATCACTATATCAATACTGGAGAAACTTTTGTGGTATACATCTTAGAAATATTCAGTCTTGGACCAATACAGACTATTGAAATATTGGCCAAAATTCTATTGCTTAGTGGAATAAAGGTAAAGGTAAAGGTTTCCCTTGACAATTTTTGTCCAGTCCTGTTCGACTCTAGGGGGCGGTGCTCATCCCTGTTTCCAAGCCATAGAGCCAGCGTTTTGTCCGAAGACAATCTTCCGTGGTCACATGGCCAGTGCGACTTAGACACGGAACGCTGTTACCTTCCCACCGAAGTGGTCCCTATTTATCTACTATCATTTGCATGCTTTCGAACCGCTAGGTTGGCGGGAGCTGGGACAAGCAACGGGCGCTCACTCCGTCGCGTGGATTTGATCTTACGACTGCTTGGTCTTCTGACCCTGCAGCACAGGCTTCTGCGGTTTAGCCCACAGCGCCACCACATCCCTTCGCTTAGTGGAATAAATAGCACTAAAATAGGTCTATTGAGATAGACTTAGACTTAGATGCCTGCACTGAGCAGAAGCGTTCAACCCGATGCCTTATAGGCCCTTTCCAACTTTATGATTCTATGCTTCTATGTTCCATTAATTCAAATAGGCCTACTTTAACTATAACATATTATGCTAAAACATGTCACAATTAGAGTAGGCCCCATGCAATCAATGAAATTTATAGAGAAATTAACTAATTGATTCAATGGGCTTATTCTACTGCAATTTATTACACCAAGCAACAGGATTTTGACCGCTGAAGTTAAGACTCTTCCTAAAATAGCAGTCAGTAGCTGAATCTCGTTCCTTAAGTTATACTGTTCAATACTCAGGACATCGACCACTGCGCCAATGTATCAGAAATGATGTCCATGGGATTACATTTGTCATGGGGAAATCGGTGTGGGTTGCAGGACAAGGTGGTGGTGGAATCTTTAATTTCCATAAGTTTCTGCCACTGGTAATTAACAGAGATGGCATGAATTGCCAGTTTGCTGGTTCATTTATCAGGCCTCCCAGCCCCACCTTTCCTCTGATGGATGCCTACTTAGAGGTAGCAGCCAGAGGAGGAGGGGCAGGAAAGTCAGGCTGCTGTCTCTGAGTGGGTGCCCGACAGAGGAGGCAGAGCTTCGAAGCGGTGAAACCTGTCCAGCTGATAAACAAACTGGCATGAAACATCAAACTGGAGGTTCATGCCCTCCTCTAGCAATCAGCCTTACATAGTGCGGCTGCATGAACAGGATTGCAGCCAGTGCCAGCCAAGGAAATCTTGCAAAAATAGCTGTTATTGATACAATGCTTGTTTTAAGATACATTAAACAGACTCTTTTAGTGACTAAAAGCATTTTAAAGACTGTAAAGATTTTTCCAGATTGCCAATACCCTATTATCCTCAGTCAACTGGTGCAAGCTAAGAGGTAGGACATGGTTTGACTCCAATTGCACCCATTATTCCCAGTAAGAACTGCCTTCTTGACAGCAATATTCAACTAGAAAGAAGCAAACAGAGAAGCAACACAAACCTGATTTTAACTTTTTTTTTTTTGAAAAAAAGAGAGGGACTCTTTATTGAGAGCAGCATTTAAAAAAAACAACAACACCTCTTGGCTGTTCTACCCCTCCGCTCAAGCAAACAGAAACTAAAATGACTCTAGGCTGCAATTCCAGTAATAATATATAAAACATTTTTTGCTAAGGCAGAGAGGTGTCAACATATTTTTTTTAAGTAAGAAAGGAAAAACAAACATTGACCCAAATAATGATATAAAAAAGGCGACACTGGATAGTCAAAAAAGCTAGTGAAAAATCTCCTTCATATGTCAGGCACTTAGTGTTTGTTGCTCCTTTTTCTTTTTCTTTTTGATATGTAGGGAGGTGCCAGATAGCCTGACTGAGAGACAAAAAGAACTGCTTAATAAATATACAGGTTCCTCAAAAAAAAGAGGAGAGAACAGCATATTGTGCAGGGGTGCTAAGGAAAAAGGTCTCCCTTCCAGTGAGGATGGACACCAGATGTTATGGAAGAGGCCTGTTTCAAGGAAAGAGAAAGGGCCATAGCCATAGATGAAGCTACTCACTCCTCTTTTCTCAGATGGGGCTCCTCACTGAGGGCTGGGAGCCACACATAGCATCCCAATTTGGCCACTACAAGGGGAGAAGGTCAGAAGGTTCAGAAATACTGCTGTGCTACATTCCTTGGGAAGGAGAGGATGCAGTAACCTGCATGGCTATGTTCGTTTTTTCAACCTGTTGTTGTTTGCGTAATTAAGCTGAAAACTACCCAGAGTGTGCCCTAGCACCAAGGGGCGGTTATGTAAATCTAAACAACAACAACAGGAAAATCCATCCAGCTACAGAGGTGGAGATACAGATATGAAAGCCGACCGTCTCCCTTGGGAGAGGCGACACACTGGGAGACTTGCACAACTTATTTGGGTCTCATTGTAGAGATCACTTCCACAACCCCCCCCCCAGTCAAAAGGACACAAGTAGCCCCTTCTCAACTGGGTGCCCCCTCCCCCAACGTAAAAGTTGCTCCTAGGAGCAGCCTGCCTGTGCTTTTATTGTGACGATGATCCAAGAAAAAGATAGCGAAGAAGATGTGCCAAGACAGAGAAGTCCCAAAATCTTGCCACAGGCACTCGTTATGAAGTTGGCCGATGGGGGTGGCAGTGGCTCCCAGCGTCCCCCTTTTGATCTCTTGGATGTTGCTAAGTAGCCCTGTGGACACCGGAGGTAGAACCTATAGGAAATGCAGCCTTGGTCAGGCACAGGGGAACGGGGCCTGATGAAGAGGCCTCTCAGGTCAAGGAGAAGATGTCCATTATCTTTGTCCACCAGTTTTAACATTCCATGGTCCCGTTGGGTTTCAACTCCTAGGTCCCAACTGGAAAGTCTGTAACAGTCGAACGACCAAAAACAAGGTTTTGAACCCATCCCCGCTACTCCCGGCAATGGGGAAATCAGCATTTCTCCACTCAGGCTTTGCTTTCGGATGGGGTTTCTCCAAGCATGTTGGCGATCTCACTGAAAGACGGGCGGTCCTTCGGGCTGGGGGCCCAGCAGCGCTGCATCACCTTGTACATCTTAGAAGGACAACCCTCTGGGTGGGGAAGCTTCGTCTTTCCAGACTGTAAACCTAAATAGAAAACACAGGCGAGAGAAAGCAGAGATTGAAGAGAGGAGGAACTCAAAGTCCAGCCCTTGATCGGGGGGAGGCATGGGCTGCACTGCCACACAGCACTGAGCCACTGTGCACCAACATAGGCTATCATTGAATCTGCCTTTAACTACCGTATTTTTCCATGTATAAGGCTATACTTTTGTCTAAAATCTTTAGACTACAAATTGAGGGTCATCTTATACACAGAAGCTGAGGAGAGAGAAAAAAACAAGTGGCAGGGAAAGCAGGCATCAAAAAACCTGCCTGTTTTCCCCTCCACTTGCTAAACCCCACTTAGATTTCTTAATTTTGGGTTAAAAAATTGGGGCCATCTTATACACAGAAAATACGGTATGTGTGTCCTGTGAGAATCCCTGCTGCCTTTTTAGTTTCTCCCAAGACAGTTCCACTCTGCATTATTCTGGCAGACATATCGTTTCGTTTCAGCTCTGGAGCGGCCAGAAGCCATTCAACAGGTCGACACGCAGTGGGTTGCATCAATCCTTCCCATAAAGATCAGAGGGACTGGGCACACAGCAAGCTTTTCATGATGTCATCCTCGTCCTGATGCCTTCTGAGGCTTCTGCATCTTCCTGCTGACCCCAGAACACCCAGGACTGCCAAAGAGACCCAAGGAGGGATTAGATATGAGCAGCTTATCTTTGGGGAGCTTTAGGCTGCTTGTGAAATCAGATAAAACAGCAGTGCTTATCATCAAAAAAAGTGCTTTTGAATTACTTTCAAGTGTTCCATAGATTTTATCTTCTTGTCGTATTATCATCGTACCATCTGGATTTTCCCTCCCTCCTTTTTGGGGCAAAGATATAAAGATGGTTTGTAAGACTTCACAAAATACTAATTCTGCTTATCTTTTCCATCACCAGCAAAGGGTGATACACGAAGGATCAGTGCTCTGCATTGACTCAATAAAGGAAGCTGCATTGTGGAGTCTGCAAGACCTGAGCAGAATGGTCAATGGCAGAGCCTTCTGAAGGTCACAGATGCAGAGTGGTTATGCGCCAGAGAGATCTGATGGCGCCTAACAACAGCATGATTATGCTATGGCTGGCTGATGCAGGGAGACCTTGGCTGGCACAGGGCCAACCAGTGAGCTAAAGGCAAAAAGTGAAATCTCAGCCAGGTACTTCCTAATTTATAGTTCAATCTTGTCCTAGGTACATCTACCTGGAAGCAAGCCCATGGAACTTATTCTAAAGCACATAACGATGATGATGATGATGATGATGATGATGCTTTTACTCCACCCATCTAGATTGAAACGAATCTACTCTGGGTGGCTTATAGTCCAAGCAATATAAAACAAGGATTAAAACAGACAATATCCCACCCCCAAAGCAAGTAAAGATGGAAAAACACAGGGAACTAAATAATGATGGAAGGGGGGACCTACAGAACTGATCTTGTCAGGAGGAGGAGTATCACATCTATGATTTAACACATCTGGGCTTCAACTTGTAGCTTTTTTTCCAGGGAAATGTGGGAAACCTACACTCACGTGCAAGGGTTTTAGGAACTAATATTTTCTGAAAAGACAATTTTTCAAATTTTGCAATTATATTTATATTTCTGAACCTGCATCTTGGGAATGGGAAATCTTCTAACAATGAAATATACATTTTTACTCCGCCTTTCTCCGTAAGAAAGACCAAGGTGGCTTATATCATTAAAAGACAATGTTTAAAGCTAAAAACTGTTAAGTATGTACAAAAACTTTAAAAAGGGATTAAACAAATACTGCACTAAAAACAGTAAACAAAAAGCAACACCGAAACACGTTCAAAGCAGTAAGGTACAACAATCCATTTAAAAAGATCCACTCAAGCAGCCAGTCAGTTGCTCGGGGAAAGCCTGCCTGCAGAGAAAGGTATTTGCCTGTTTGTGGAAGGACAGCAAAGATGGGGTTAGACTGGCCTCTTGTGGGAGGGAGTTCCAAAGTCTGGGAGCAGCCACAGAAAAGGCCCTCTTTCTTCCATGTCTCCACCCAAAGCATCTGTGAGGGTCGTGGGACGGAGAGAAAGGCCTCTTCTGACAATCACTCAGTTTCATTTTTGATTCGCCTCTTTTTTTCTTTGAACTAATCTGCTGTCTATAGGAGCCCTTCTGGTGGCAGGCCTGGATCAGGTGTCCTTCCGGCTCCCAGCAGAGACTGTACAGGCACACGCTGAGAGGCCAAGGTGAACATTCACTTACCTGCTAGCACCTCTTCACCTGCCAGTTTGGAATAGGGCATTTCCCCCAGCGTGAATATCTCCCACATGACGACCCCGAAGGACCAAACATCAGACTTGGTGGAGAACTCGTCATCCAAGACCGCTTCAGGGGGCATCCAGCGGAGCGGGATCCAAGCTTGATGGTAGTGATAGTATTCGCTGCTCACCAGGAAGCAAAGGATAAAAATCAGCTCTGTGCCAAAGACGTAACAGCTGCCTTCAACCCAGCCCAGCCAAAGGGCAGTATCCCCTTACCTATTGTAAACATCCTTGCTAAGGCTCAGGCTTGACACCTTCACCTGCCTTTGTGCGCTGACGAGACAGTTCCGAGCGGCCAAGTCTTTGTGTACAAATCGGTTGTTGGAGAGATGCTCCATCGCCAGGGCCACCTGGCAGCAGAAGGACACCTGTGTGGAAAGAGGAACATACAAGCTGCAGAAAGTAATCATGAAGCAAGCGACCCGTCCGGCGGTTGTTGGCTGGCAGGTGACAAAATGTGAAGGACAGACATCTCGTGTGCCGACACCATCCGTGGCCACACCATATTCCTGAGAAATAAAGCTTGGCAGTTTTTAAAAATGTTTAATGGGTTGCAAATCTAGTAAATATTAACTGCAGCGCCATACCCACACCTAGCTCCTCTCTGCTTGCCAGCCTGGAATAGGGCACATCATTTTATTTATTTATTTATTTATTTATTCATTCACTCACTCACTCACTCATTAATTAATTAATTCATTTATTGCATTTATAGCCCGCCCATCTAGTCGTACTGACTACTCTGGGCAGGTGACAGCATATCAAATCTAAGTCCAATTTAAAATCATAACAATGCATTACTAAGCAAAATGATCCAAGATGTGAGACTTTAAACACAGAATATATATATATATATACACATACACACACACACATATATACACACACATACACATACACACATACATACACATACACACACACACACACACACACGGTTTCAAGCATTTCTCTTACATCCACACATGTTCCAACTCTGCCCTTTCATGAAATCCACCCTGTCTTGATCCTGCTGTCGGTTTCCTCTGCATACTTCCTGCAGCTGGTTTACATCTGTTCCTGTTTCAGTTCTTTTAAAAGATGAATCCAATGCAATTGATGGATACCAGATCAGATGGTTTCCCCCTGTGTTTTTACTATTCTAATTGAGTTCCAGCTATGTTCCTCCCAGAATCTTAGAAGAAAAAAAAATAGAAATGGGGGGAAGTATCATGTGGTAAACTGCCCAGATACAGTGCCTTGCACTAATGGGGCACGATACAAGTTAAAGAAATAAATAAAATAAATAAAGTAAATAATAAATCTCTGTAGTTTTGTTGCATTTTCGGCTCACTTCAACTACATCACCAATTAAAATGCTAAAAAGTCCTGTGGCATCTTTAAAATGAAAAAGCGTTTTTTTTTTGCATAAGCACTTGTGGGCGGCAGCCTCGGTTAAACAGACATTCAAAAAAGGGCTGGAAAGAATATGAAATAAAATGAAAATGCAAGAAATTCAGCATGTTGGTCATTTTGGCTCCAACAGACATGGCTGCCTCCTTCAAAAACACAGAAATGAGGAGGTCTGCTGGCATAATTTAAAAGCAGCATTCAGATACCTGCCCATACGGAGCCAAATTTCACATGCCTGCCATCCCGCATAGTGTCTTGAGTCTTTGGTAGCCAGACCACGAGTGTAGCTTCTAAAATCAATCAAAATCTACCTGCAAACATCATTTCTCAGAAGAGATCAACTCGCTGCATCTAAAGCACAAATACAGAAGGGCAAGACAACGGAGAGCTGCAAGGGAAGTCCTGTGATTCCAGCCATGGAGAACATGGAGCCATGTTGTCAGGTGATGATAGCCATCAACTCCAATAGCCAATAGTAAGGAACTGTGGGACTTGTAGTCCACCAGCATCTGGATTGCTATAGGTCCCCCATCTCTGCTCTAGCCTATAAACTATCTTATGTGCCTACTTGGTATCAGGCCCCATGCATTTGTTCTCTCCTCTGCAAATAAAAAAGGGTGTTTTTTGGGGGGGACATTTTGATGCTAAAGTCTCCAAGTGACCTAAAACTTTCCCACCTTACCTTTTGTTTTGTGCTGATGGGTTGAGATTTGAGCTTCTCATCTTTAGTCCTGGAAATCCTCAGGAACTGTTTCAGGTCTCCCTATTAGGAAAGCAAGCAGGCATTATGTTCAGCCCTAGGCAGGAAAAATCCAGAGGCAGACAGTCAAGCCGGAAGGAAGGGCAGGCCTAATCTTTGCCCACAAAGGGACACCACTTCTCAGAGGCCATGAAGTGAACATGAAAGTGATAAAGCATATGTGTAGCATATGTTCAGTCTAGATTTAGCTACACCACATGGGTACAGCATTTGGAATGTCCCACTGGGGCGTCAGAAATGATTTTCACCAAGTGTAGGATACACATCTTACATAGGATGTTTTGTAATCTTTTCTTACTATCCCCATTTTATAACTGTTCATGTCCTTCATACACAGGACAGCCTTGCTCTGCAACATTCGTGGTCTCTGTTCATCACATCCCCAAGTAACTGCCTCCAATCAAATAAGAGTAGAATTTTTATATAAACTGAGATAATCTCTTTATCTGCCACTGGAAATCTTACCGAATAAACTTCAGCTGTCTGCCTAGCTTTACCCAAAGCACTCTTTACTGTGTACATCTACTAACCTTTGCTGGGTGAAACGTCATGTTGTTGTTATTTCGACTTATATACTGCCCTATAGTACTAAAGCACTCGCTGGCTGATTTACAACATAAATACGCGAACAACACTTTGCCCCCCAGCGAGCTGGGTACTCATTCTACCAGCCTCGGAAGGATGGAAAGCTGAATCAACCTTGAGCCGGCTACCCGAATCTGCCGGGATCAAACTCAGGACATGAACAGAGGCTTGGCTGCAGTACTGCAGTTTAACCACTGGGCCAAGGGGCTCATCACATGTCCCAGTCAACTCATGGCAAACCTATCAACAAAAAAGCTCTCACAGAACAAGGAAGTCTTACCAGATCCACATATTCCAGAATCATATAGTGAGGCTCTGCTTCCCGGCATAGACCGAGCAGTCGCACCACGTTGCTGTGGTTCAGTTTGCCAAACATCTCAAACTCCCGTCTGAAGTCCAGTTGTAGTTGTTCATCTCTCGTTTGAAGGCTCTTAACCAGAACAAGCACTTCAGTTTCATTGTCTTCAATGCCTTTGGCCTTGGCTAGGAAGACTTCTCCAAACTTCCCTTTCCCTGAAAGAAGAGAGCCACTTGCGAGGACTGTCCATGGTGCACACAGTATTAATGCAGAAGACCATCTCTACACTTGAGTACTGCAAGTGCGTATTTGCTACAGCCTTCTTCTAAATCATCCAAAATGTTTGCACAACACATGACATTAGTCACGCTTAACACGGTGTGCGCGCCACCAATCCCAAGTTGAAGGCAGCAGGGAGTCGTGGTCGCTATAAACTCTAAATTCCCTGAGATCCTCAAATGTAATTTTACAGTATATTAATGGAATGGAATGGGGTGCAAGAAAAGGAAGGGCACCAGTCAAACCCATTCCACCGGTCTGCAGTGGGGCTGAATTAGCTCCACTCGTGTCGAACCCAGTCTCTTCCTGATCCCAAGTTTCTGTCCCATGGGTTGGGGCAGCCTACACGCTGTTGCTGGCATCAGAGCTTCAGCACAGGCCCACATCATCTACCCACTTCAGTGAGGGATTATCTTCCTCAGCCCTCCCTGCTGTTGCCTAGAAGCACTGCCTCCAATGCCTGGACTGAGCGATGGTGGAGGCAGTTGCTGGTGGGTGGGCTGAAGGTGGGTGCTTCTCCACTGTGTTTTCCACCTAGAACCCGATCCAGGAGTTCTGTACATAGGTGTAGTCCACATTCCTAGCAGCGTCATCGATTGGGTCCAGCTCTTCCCCACCTATCTCGAATCCTCACCTTCAGACCCCATCAAAGTGTCCGTGTGCAGGTGCTTCCTCCTCTTCCTTCTTCTTTTATCCCCAACCCCTCCTCCCAGGGCCCTTGGCCCCCACCTCCTCTCCCAGGTGAGCCATATCATTCCCCCTCTTCTTCCTTTTGGAAAAGTAAGTTTATGTATCAACTGCTGGCTTTGAACCAGAAATGTTTATAGGTATTTGAGCGTGACACACAGTCTGTGTTTACTAGCTTTGGTAGCAGCTGTGCAGACTCCTGAAAGAAAGGGATGTTCCCACCATAGCAGTCCATGCTTTGGCAACATCCAGGCTGTATTATTGTAATAGCCCAGAAGTGAAATTGCCTCTGAAAGGCTTCCAGAAACTTCCTATGTGTCAGTATATAGCAGTCAGGTTTTTAACTAGAATACACTGAACCACTCTTTATACCATCTCATAGTGTAACAACAAGAGAAGGGGGTAGAGCACCAGGTATGTCACTATGGGCTCTTTAAAGGAAAGACAAGGCAGAAATGCAGTAAATATGTAAATAAAATCTATCCCACATAGGATAGAAGATAACAGCCAATATTCCCTAGCTGCCTATATGTTCAACAAATAGAGTCAGTGCAGTAAGTATTTATGTACATGAACAGTAAGACCCCTGTATCTGCTGGGGATTGGTTCCATGGCCCCTTGTGGACACTGAAAACCACAGATAACCGCAAACATGATAGCTAGATATAGATAAAGGGGAGGGGGGAATTTAAAATTGTTTGCATGCATTACCAGAACTGACCACAAGAGGGCAACAGGGGCCATGCTATATATTTTTCACTAAGAAGTATTCGTAGCAGTCTCTGGCGCCATCTGGCGCCCTAATATGCAATACACGTGAAAATAGTTTTTTTCTGGTTCTTTTTCTTTTAATATTTTTAATATTTTCAGACTATGGATAAGTGAAACTGTGGATACTGATCCCACATACACAGGCGTTCTCATGTAATCTAAAAGCAAGTGTTCTATAGGAACTTGCTCAAGGAGAGAGACTGCAGTGGGGTGGGGCATAGGAACTGCATAACACGGACTGTTATTGATGATGGCACCGCCAGGCGGTAGGCGGGAGAGGCTCACCTGTGCCTTATTTAAAGGGAGAGGAAGCAGAATGCAACATACCCAAAGGAGTGATTGTCTGCAGGTTAGAGCGGGGGAAGTGCATCTTGTCCCCAGTGCTGTGCCTCTTGTTGACGGCAGCGCTGCTGCCGAGGTTCGTCAGAGCCACTTCCTCCTGGATCTCAGCCGTGGTCTGCCCGTTTTGCAACAGAGTTCCCCCTGGAAAGAAAATGTTGTTTTCAGAAAGGGGATCATGTGTCTTATGGGTAATGTTCACAACTTTCATCAAAAGAACCTGTCCGGTCATGTTATAAATACGCCCTCCGTGTGCCATCAAGTCACGTCCAACAGATAGTGACTCCAATACAATTTTCAGAACATGTGAGATGTTCAAGCAGGATTTTACACTGCCAGTCTCCAGTGAGCTCCTACGGTCATGTCACACCCTGATACTAACCGGAACCTAAATCTTTTGACTCACTGAAATACTTTGCAATGAATGTAGAAGGCTGAGAGGGAGTAAGGTCTCTTTCTCAACAAGAGGTTCCTATGCCCTGAATGTTCTGCTTTGAGAAACAGATTACCTGCAAATATAGCATCCGGTACAGACCTAGTTAATGCTTTGGAATCGTGGTCCTGGAGGTGACTCTTTGAGAGTCCCCTGGACTGCAAAGAGAACAAACCTATCCATTCTGAAGGAAATCAGCCCTGAGTGCTCACTGGAAGGACAGATCCTCAAGCTGAGGCTCCTCTACTTTGGCCATCTCATGAGAAGAGAAGACTCTCTGGAAAAGACCCTGATGTTGGGAAAGTGTGAAGGCATGAGGAGAAGGGGATGACAGAGGATGAGATGGTTGGACAGTGTCATCGAAGCTACCAACATCAATCTGACCAAACTCTGGGAGGCAATGGAAGACAGGAGTTCTTTTTCCCCCCCCTTAATAGGGACGTGGTGGCGCTGCGGGCTAAACCGCAGAAGCCTGTGCTGCAGGGTCAGAAGACCAGCAGTCGTAAGATCGAATCCACGTGACGGAGTGAGCGCCCGTTCCTTGTCCCAGCTCCCGCCAACCTAGCGGTTCGAAAGCATGCAAATGCGAGTAGATAAATAGGTACCACCTTGGTGGGAAGGTAGCAGCGTTCCGTGTCTAAGTCACACTGGCCATGTGACCACGGAAGATTGTCTTTGGACAAAAACGCTGGCTCTATGGCTTGGAAACGGGGATGAGCACCGCCCCCTAGAGTTGAACACGACTGGACAAAAATTGTCAAGGGGAACCTTTACTTACTTCCCCACCCTTAACAAGAGGTTCCTATGCCCTGAATGTTCTTCCCACCCTTAACAAGAGGTTCCTGTGCCCTGAATGTTCTGCTTTGAGAAACAGTTTACCAGCAAATATAGCATCCAGAACAGACCTAGTGACTTGCTGATCTTATCGCACAAGCTTGTCCTTTTGTCTTTAGCAAATATAGCATCGAGAACAGACCTAGTGACTTGCTGATATTATCGCACAAGCTTGTCCTTTTGTCTTTGTAACAATGCAGAGCTCCTCTGCTTTGCTGCTTATATGTCTTAATGGCGGTCTCTAGCCTCCTATGAAAACTCAAGTCACTTGTCTTCCTTACGGGCAAAATTGCAGGCTGAACAGTGACTAAACCTTGTTTAATTCAATTTACTGATTCATGTTAGGCATCACCACATCATTCTTTAATCTTCCCAGCTATTCAAACCTCATAGTCCATAGATAGCCATCACTCTGCTGTCTAGGTCACACCTCAAAAGAAGCAGGCTTTCGCTTGTGCAAGTTCATGTTACAACACAGTTGATCGTTGTAACACGCTACAATCCTGGCGTGATTATTTTTTGCTGCAGTGAGCTAGTACAGCTATTCTAGTATTTGGATGGAAAGCTTAACTACGGAAAGCATGAGTCAATGTCCCTCACCAGCTCCTGAACCGCGGAGGCTGCAGCATAAACATCCCCCTTATTAATCATTTAAGAGCAACAAAAAAAATTTGTGGGGATTTTATTTCTTGGAAAAATTAACCAGACTTACAAAGCAGCTAATTATGGTCACTAGAGGGCAACACAGCCACAACATTCAAGGATGCTAGTTTAGCGCACAGGCTGCCTTCCAATTCCTGAAATCTGATTAGCTCCTATTGCTGTCTGGCCCATTACTCGAGGCTCCTGCAGGATAGCACTCATGGTTATTTCATAGCCCTGCAATAGCTAGAGCAGAACTCATCTCAGTCCCTCCGCAGCAGGAAGGTACTGCTGTCAGCCATGACGGATTAACAGAGTATTCTGGGCCACTCTTCCATCCTCAGAGGAGCTGGGAAATTCAAGTATGCCTTTGAGCAGGGAAGGCTGGAGAATCATCTGAAGTACTTCTCAGGCAAGAGGGACCAACCCAGAGAGACCAACAAGAGAAGAGACATTCTTCTCCTTGCACAGCATTATTTATTATTTGATTGATTGATTTAAAGCATTTCTATGCCGCCTTTCTCCCCAAAAGGACCCCCCAAGTTGGCTTACATGATTAAAACAATATTTAAAAGCTAAAACAGTAAGTATACAAATATACAAATATCCAGCACAGGCTGCAACCTTGATCTGGTTTTCGACTGACCAGGAGCACCTCTTGTCTTGCCTGGATTAACTTTCAGTTTATTCGCCCTCATCCAGTCCTTTAATGACACCAGACACTGATTTAGAACTGAGACATCTTTCTTTGGATTTAGATGGAAAGTAGAGATAAGAGTTGGGTGTCATCAGCGTACAGGTAACACGAACGCCAAAGCTCCAGATGACCTGTCCCAGTGGTTTCATGTAGATATTAAATATCATAGGGGACAAAACAGATCCCTGAGGAACACCACAGGTCAAAGGCCAGGGTGTCGAACAGGAGTCCCCCAGCATCACCTGCTGGGTTCTCCCCTCCAGGAAGGGCCGCAGCCACTGCAAAAAAAGTGCCTCCAAGTGCCATCCCTGAAGGAGGAGGGCCCACAAGGATACCATGGCTGATGGTATCAAAAGCCACTGGGAGGTCCAGCAGAATCAAGAGGAGACACACTCCCCTTGTCCAGTTCCTGGTGTAGGTCATCCACCAAGGTGACCAAAGCAATCTCTGTCCCATAATCAGACCTGAAGCCTGAGATGGATCTAGACAATCCGTCCCATCCAGGAATCCTTGGAGCTGAGATGCCACAACCCACTCCAGCCGTCTCGTCCAGGAATCTCTGGAGCTGAGATGCCACAACCCACTCCAGCACCTTGCCCAAGAATGGGATGTCAGAGACTGGCTGGCAAATATCCAGTACTGTAGGGTCCAAGGAAGGTTTTTTCAATAGTGATCTTACTATTGCCTCCTTCAAGCAAGCTGGGATCCTACCCTGCTGCAAGGAGGCATTCGCTACCCCTTGGACCCACTCCGACAGTCCCCCTCTGGCAGTTTTTACAAGCCAGGATGGGCAAAGGTCCAGCAGACAAGTGGTAGCCTTCACCAGTCCAAGGATCCTGTCCACATCATCAGGCTGCAAAAACTGAAGCTTATCCATCAACACAGGACAAGCAGGAGCCATAGTTTCATCTACAGGAGCTGTATTCACTACAGCATCTAAGTCAGAGCAGACCCGAGCGATTTTGCCTGCAAAGTACTGTGCCAATTTTTAAGTGATCTCCCAAGTGGTCAGCACTATCTTCCTATGGGCCATGATGCAACAGGCTGTTGACCGCTCGGAAGAGCTCAAGTGGGCGATTCTGAGCAGACACAACGGTGGTGGCAAAGAATGACTCCTTTGCCACCGCCACTGCCATGGAATAGGCCTTCCAATTCTTTACCACCGCCACTGCCATGGAAAGGCCTTCCAATGGGCTCCAGCCTGTGTTCGGTCAGATTCACCCCGAGTTTATAGCCATCACTGTTCTAGTCTCAGTCCCATTCATTTAATTACCATCAGCTCCCTAGTAAACCAGGGAGCTAAACCCAGTAAACAGGTAGAGTTTGACTCTACTTCGCGGGAGGGGACACTTAGGAGCGATTGCGTCCACCGCCCTGGCCATTTCCCCATTCCAGAGGTCAACCAGAGCTTCAACAGAATCGCTTACCGAGGCAACAGGAAACTCCCCAAGAGCCATCAGGGGAGAAAGCTGGGGAACAATTAAGGAACATTCGCTAAAATCCACTAAGACCATCACCTAGGTAGTTCTAAATTATGCCCTGCAAATAAAGCTAATGTATGCAAGTTATTTTCAATTAATTCTGCTCCTTATGGAGTTTTTTCATTAAAGACAGCTGAGAAAGCATTGCTGTAAAGAGTCTTATGGGTTTTTTTCATTAAGGACAGCTGAGAAAGCATTGCTGTAAAGAGTAGCCTCAAGGATGAAGTGGCTTTTACACAACAAGATGGAACCCGAAACCCTGAGGACAATGAGATCGCTCAAGCACAGATGAACAAGTCCCTCACCTAAGGCTCAGGTTTAAGGATTAAGCCACTTTGAGAAAAATGTGGAATACAACAATTGGAATTAATGGAAGGAATCCTGTGGTACATCCAGCTTCCTCAGGCTTTCTGCTCTGGGGCTACCAAGTCTCTAACCACCACAGCTGTTCCGTGGGGCACCCTGTTCTTATTTTATTTTCCCACATTATGAGACCTGCCATTTATTCCCACTCTTTATTTTCTCTTCTTTAGGCAGATGTTAAGTGATCTTATCCCATCACTTAAACTTACTAAGAAGATTTTCATAAAAGTCAAAGTACATAATTTTCCTTATGACCAGTATGTCTGCTTTTGCTTGGGCAGAATCCTAACTTAGCTGCTCAGATGTGGGCCATAAGCTGGAGGAAAAGGATTTTAAATGAACAAAAAATGGAATGTCACTCTTCCTCCAGCTCAGAGCCAAACTATCCAATATGCCCCCTGGAGACTTCTTTAAAATGCAGTTCAACACCTGAAATTTTCTACAGATTTCTTAACAGGGAGAGAGAAGAAAGACCATTCACTTTTTAGTTGCTCTGTTTCTACCGATAAAAGGAGCCTTTGAGGAAGAAACATAAATATAGTGGTGCCCCACTTCATGACGACCCCGCTTGACGATGAGTTTTTGCGATCCCTATAGCGATTGCAAAACGATGGTTCCTATGTTTTTTTCCGCTTTACATCGATTAGGTGGCTGCTTCGCGAACCGTTTGTTCACAAAACTATGTTTTTTCCAGCTCCGCAAAATGGCTTCCCTCCCTTCGCAAAATAGCTTCCCTCCCTTCGCAAAATGGCCGTTTTCCAGACCCCTGCTTCGGAAGACACCGATTTTACACAGCTGATCGGTGGTTCTCTATGGGCGATCTTTGCTGGATGATGAGGTATTTCCCAATTGGAACGCATTAACTGGTTTTCAATGCATTCCAATGTTTTTTTTTTTTTGCTTGACGATGATTTCGCTTAACAACAATTTTCCTGGAATGGATTATCGTCGTCAAGCAGGGCACCACTGTATTCTGAGTTTAGAGATGGATTTTGTATTTTCAAAAGCAGAAGGTCAAACTTTTCTGCCTGCTCTGTTCCCAATATGCCTAGGGAGCAGGTGGGCAAAACGCAGCCCAGGGATTAGGCTCCTTCACGTCTCTTAAAAAAAAAAAGTTTTCTCTATAAAAAACAAACTGCCGCACCTAGTCACCAGGAATAGTGCATCTCACTTTAAGCAAGACACAGACCTCTCTACAATGTTTAACACAATAATGATCATACTATGGTGAGAACAAGCAGAAGTAATTCATTTAGTGATGATCACAAAAGGCGTCAGCTCAATGGAGTTACCTTCTTGATCAAGATTATGATCCTTACCGTTCAGGCACTCCATTTCTGGTTCCTCACCCTCTGGCTGCTTTTTCAATCTTTTTGCTTTCCTTCTCTTCTTGCAGTAGAACATGAGGCCCAGCACGATTATAATGTATGCTACTGCAGCCCCCACCGATAATCCTATGGTCTGGATCATTTTATAGGGAGTGTGGCTATTGGGTGCATCTCCCCGTTCTGTCATTGGTTTGTCTGGAAGTAAGATGTTGACATCACATAAGATGGACAGCATGATGATTTCATATTATAGCAGTATATGGTCTAGTTATGGAAAACATGGTCAAAAAAACTACATGTTACTCGTCCTGGTAATGTACATAACTGATCTCAGAACTGTCCCTCCACAAGATTCAGTTGTACCATCAAGTGCTGACAGTTTTAAAAGAATATAATCTTGAAGAGTTTATTGTATGAAATAATTAGAGACACTGCCAAAAGATAATTAGAGCCAGTCTGTCAAATATAATCAGACAGCTTCTTCAACTGTGACTTCACAGAATTATAGAATAATTGAGTTGGAAGGGGCTGAAAAGGCCATTGAATCCAAACCTCTGCTCAATGTAGGAATCCAAATCAAAGCAGATCTGACAAGTGGTTGTCTAATTTTCTATGAAATGCCTCCAGCACTGGAGCATTCACCACCTCCCAAGGTAATTAGTTCCGTTGTCATACTGCTCCAACAGTTAAGACGTTTTTCCTTCAGCCTAAATCTGGCTTCCTGTAGCTTGAGCCTATTATTACATGTCCTGCACTCTGGGATGATCTAGAACAGATCTTGCCTCTTCTCTGTATGACGATCTTTGAAAAAACTTCTTACCTGGTGACCTCTGGACACGGACTTAAAAAGCCATTGCCCAGAATGATGGGTCTACAGAACAAAATATTGTTGGGGGGTGGGGAGCCAGACTGGGGAAGGTTGTCATAGTGGTGCAGTAAAACTCAGAGAATAACGGGCGTGGAAGAATCCGTGTCCCCACTCTCTGCTATTCAACAAATCTGCTTCCATTAAAATTATGAGATGCAAAATTCTTTTTACAAAGGAGTAATTTTCTGGCATTCCAAATAAAGAAACCTGATTGCCAACAAACATGTATTACTTACCGACAACATGAAGAAAGGCCTCATGATGCTTGATGTTGCAACTGTTGCCAGCAATGCATGTATACTTGCCAGAATCCTCCGTGGTGACATCATATATTACTAAAGAGCCATTGGACATAATTTGGATCCTGCAAGAAATACAACAGCAGATAATAGGGAGGGATCATGGCAGAACCCTCTATTAACTAAATTACATAAACTAGGACATTGCGTTATTTATTGCACAGCACTGCACTGCATTTATATCTCACCTTTTCTCCCAATTCAGTGACCTAACATGGCTTACAAAATGGCGGTGGGAAGGGTTACGAAGCATATTATATTAAAAGACAAAAAAAACTAAAAATAATTTTAAAGCCGAAGCCGGGAAAAAGACACATACATCAAAAAAATTTATAAAGAAAGCATAGCATGCCTTTCTAAAAACTCTCTCTGCAGCCTGATTAACACCCAGAAGTTTGACTGGATTATAATACACCTGCACTGCTCAAGAGCATCTGCAGAATATCAGCTTCAGGTGACATCAACCGGCAAGCTAGACCAAACTTTACAGGGAATTGCAATTCCTTCTCTACTCATCCCTCTTTCCCAAACATTACCCAATTGGAGGTCACTCCTTCCTTAACCTAAATTGTTTCCAGTCTGTGCCCCTCCTTCAAATGTGCCTAGGACCCTCAGGGAGCCCTAGGCCTCCTGTTGAGAATGAGTGACCTGGATCATCAAAATTATCTCAATGGATTGTGAAAATCTGACTTTTATATTTAAAGAAGCCTAGGTTCTAGTCTTCTGTAGACTGAATCTCCAGCTTCCTTGCAAATGTTTATTTAAATTGTCAGGACACACTATGTATGGTAGCTGCAAAGCTTTTGAGCTGGACCAATATGAACAAATGGCAGATGCAACCCCCAAGCACATACAACTGATACTGGTCTTAAAGTCATTCTTTATCGTTGGCAGAGGGTCTTTAGCCAACACTAATGTAGAAGGAACTACAGAGAAGCTAATGTGTAGAGTCTTACCTGGGCAAAAATTTGTCAGGTTCCAGAATTCTGTCCTTCCCTTTCCACTGAATTTGTGGCAATGGGTCACCCTCTGCTTGGCACTGGAATAGAGCTGTGTGTCCTGGGTACACCGTGGTGTCATCTGGCTTCAGCTTAAAGCTTATGAAAACTAGGAGAGAAAAATTGAGGGGGGGGGGGGAGAATTCCAAGCATACCTCACAGCCTCTGGCGATCAGAGCTTGAGAAAATTATTACTATTTTTTAAAATTACAGTTAGTAAAATCCCAGTCAGGATGGAAAGGAGACTCGCTGACTTTGGAGAAGACAGCAGATCTGGTGCATACACTGACCTCTGTGTCTTCTCACTCTTCTCTAATCCCCCCAACTCCTCAAGAAACCGTGTCAGTGCTGTCATGTCACCAGACACCTTGCTGGATTATGACAATACAAGCTCTAGCACAGGCCCTTGCCTCTGCGGGATTGCCTTTAGATAGTATCCTGCTCCTAGCCTCTCTCCAGCAACCCTCTCTGGGCCGTCTCATGGGCTGTGTCATGCCCTGCCTTACTGACCTCTAGAACTGGCTCTGAACATACCTACAAGGTGGTTTATGAGAGGAGGCTGAAGAGTGTGCCATGGATCCGAGAAATCTGGCTTAAGACCCACCTCTGGTATCGATCTGTAGGAGCAACTTAGTCTTATACCAAGTCGAACTACTGGCCCATCTACTACTAGAGTACTGTGTTTACCAGGGTGAGCAATCCTGGCAGAACCTCCAAGATTTGATCTGTAGGAGCAACCTAGTCTTATACCAAGTCAAACTACTGGCCCATCTACTACTATAGTACTGTGATGACAATCCTGTGAGCAATCCTGGCAGAACCTCCAAGATTGGCAGACCTCCTAGAGAGCACAAAGAGACTTTTCGAGGGGAAAAAAATATTTTTAAAATAGGAGGGCCTCGGGTGGCGTGCAAATGCCCCTAGAGACACACATGAGCTCCTGTAAGTTGCCCACTCCTGGTCTATCATGACCAGCAGCAAAGGCTTCAAGGAAGAGACCGTTTCCTTTGCTCCTGGTCTATCATGACCAGCAGCAAAGGCTTCAAGGAAGAGACCGTTTCCCCAGTGCTCTCTGGAGAAGACAAGGCGTAAATCTTCTCTGTAGAAAGCATGCTATTAACCCCAGTTAGTTTCTAAGCTCAGAAGAGACCAACTTGTTCACTGATAAGACACTCAGTTAGCAGCCAACGTAGAAACAAGATTCAGCTCTAATCTATGCTTACCTGCCACTGTGAGATGAACCGTGGCTCTGATTTCTCCCTGTGGGCCATTGGAAGCAATGCAAGTGTAGTTTCCAGCATCACTCCTTGACACTTTCTGAAACTGCAGGTTTCCAGCAGTGTGACGGACCCAGTTTGGCAGGCTGCTCCCATCTGAACACAGAAGCAGAGATTGTTCAAAAGCAGATCACAAATGGCCGAGTGGGGCCTGAGCACTACGGAAGATTCGTCTTTGACAGGAGACAAGGAAATTAAGTTTTAATCAACAGATTTATTTATCTATGGTACAGTGGTGCCTCGCTTAGCGACGTTAATCCGTGCAGGAAAAAACGTCGCTAAGGGATTTCGTCGCTAAGGGATTTTTAAATCCCCATAGAAACGCATTAAAACGCGTTTAATGTGTTCCTATGGGCTTAAAAACTGACCTTATGCGAAGATCCTCCATAGGGGCGGCCATTTTCGGTGCCTCTAAAGCGAGGACACACAGCGGGTGGCCATTTTGTTTTTCCGGGGCCATTTCGAAACAGCTGATCAGCTGTTTAGAAAGGGTCGCTTTGCCATGATCGCTTCCCCACGATCATCGCAAAGCGATTTTTACCCATAGGGACCATCGCTAAGCGATCGTGCTGGCGATGGCCAAAACCCCATCGCTAAGCGATTTCATCACTCAATGGAGCGATCGCTAAGCGAGGCACCACTGTATTTTTAATCCAAGTCTGCAGGTGGAATGACAACAATCTAGAGCAATGGTTTCCGATCTTAGGTAACCCAGGTATTCTTGGACTCCAACTACCAGAAACACCAACCAGCACAGCTGGCGATGAAGGCTTCTGGGAATTGCAGTCCAGGAACACCTGGGTTACCCAAGGTTGGGAACTACTGACCTAGTAGAACACAGAGGATAGTTAAAACAGGCCAAAATCCTGGAAGTGGTATCTTTGCAAGCAGAAGGCTCCTATTGAGAAATTCTTCGTGATAAAATCAATTAATGCCTAATGCACTAATGAAGACTTGCAGCTGAAAAAGCCACCTTCTATTCTGACACCTTTTCACCATCCATACTCACCAGTTTTAATCCACTGAATTGTGGGCTTTTCTCGGCCTCTGGCTGAGCAGGATACGGTGGCTTCTTTATCGAATTCAACACATTGCAGAGGTTGAGGAGGAGGAGTAAACTTCAGCTTCTCTGAAATAAAATTTTCCTAGTCAGAGACATAAAGGCTGCAAACAATACACTCTTCGTCCTAAAGAGAGAGGCCACTGTTTGTGGGCCGCACAGATAAGAGGCAAGGGGAGCCTGGAAAAGTTAACTTTCTGGACTAAAGTTTTGAGAACCTTCCAGGCAGCCTAACATTAGCCATGCTCACTAGGGGTTTTTGGGAGGTGCCAACCAAAATAGTAATACTAACAATAACAGCAGCAGCAGCAACATTTCCAAATTCCACAAACAGGGCCATAAGAAATCCAAAGGTCAGTAGAGAGTCCCATTATCAAGACATTCCAAGACTGGCTGGCTGTGCTACCTAAGATGGCTCTCAGAAACCCATACCTAGAACATGTACGCGGGCCTGCTCCTCAATGCTGCCAGCTGGAGTGCTGCTCACGCACTTGAACATCGTTCCATCGTATACGTCCACATTGTTAATGCGTAGTGTCCCATTCTCAGCAATTTCAAAGCGAGAATCCTGGACAAGAGAGAGGAAAAATGGCAAAGACTTATGTCACGATGGCTTTCCATCTTAATAATCAAATATAAATAATTTCGGAGATGCTTCAGAGCAGGTTACTTCTTTCTCAAAGTTCCAGGCTTTCATCTATACTTTTTTAGATTCAAATTTCATCCATGATTTGGGGCATCTCCCAGAAGAGAACAGCAAAAAGTATGTGTACATTATCAGAAGCATATTAGACAAAACGCTGTCAGACAGAAACCCGAAAGACTGGTTGGCTGAAGGTATGATAAACTTTGGCTGCAGACCCATGATGCCCTTGGGAAGAATTCAAAGAACCTCAGGTGCCCTCTTCCCACTTGGCACGCTCACTCCGCACCAGCAGCTAGATTCTAGTTGTTTCTTGTCTGCAATGGCAAGAACAGGCAGCATTTCCAGAAGTATCTCACAAAAAAAAAGGGAGATTAAAAGAGTGACTATACAAGGAAGCCGACTTTGTAAGATGTCAGACGCTTGAGTTTGTCTCCCTTTTGTTGCATTTTTCTGAAAAAGGTTTAATGAGATTAAACCAGTTGGAGTATGATATATAAAACCCCAGGATACATCCAGCTGTTAAAACAGCAAGACCATACAAGGGTTGGACAGAGCATCTGTGTTAATGAGACAGAAAAATGGAGGCCCTGACTGGGAGTCACATTGCCAGTTTTATTTTATTGGTTTGCAGTATTAAAATGCATGTGTGGCCTCTTGTGTGGGCACAAATTTTTTCCAGACTAAGAATACAAACACAGAAAAGACATGCATGAAGACTCACAAACACAAAGGCATCCCCAGGCAGAAGCATGCATGCCCAGGTGGATGACTGCACACACACACACACACACGCACGCACGCACGCACGCACGCACGCACGCACGCACGCACGCACGCACGCACGCACGCACGCACACACACACACACCATTTTGTCTTATTGAGAGGCAGGAAAACTGGAGACCATGCAGGGCCTGGAAATGTTATTTGTTTAGGATAACAAGTCCCAGAATCCCCCAACAGCATGGCTAGTGATGTGCCAGCTGAAGAATTCTGGAAGCTGACACACAGAAAAGTAACTTTCGGCACTTTGCTTCTTTTCCCCATATGGTTTGGAGTGGGGAGGAAACACAACACAGGAAGAAAAACAAAAAACAGGAGCCACAGACCCAACACTGATCTTCAAGCCAAGGCCTTTTCAATACCACACTCCTCCCTAACACATCTCATCCCATGCTCCTTCACAGAACCTTTTGAGAGACTTTTGCAAGAAAAACAGCAGACACATCAATATGTCTTCTGAAATGTCAGAAGCAGCCAGAGAGAAGTAGACCCCGAAGTTCTCCACCGCTAGTTTTACAAGGGAGGAGATGTTTGAATACGTTAGACCTAAAAAAGGAAAGCAGAACCAGACAGACAGACAGGCTGCTTAAAATAATGGCGAAGAGCAGCAGCAGCAGCAGTACAAAGGTTGATCCCCAAGATGGCCCATGGTCCTTCGATACTCACCTCTGAAATAGGGAAGCCATTGCGAAACCAAGAGACGGTGGGCTTCAAGGAGGCTTTGCTAAGGCAATGCAGGTAGCCTGGCTTACCCTCTTCTAGATAACTCTCCTTGGGCTTTTCCACCCATTTTGGCATTGCTGGGATGGGAGGAAGAAATAAATCACTGCAGTCACAGTTGACTTAATCACAGAAGGCTTTGGCATATATGTTGCAATGTCACCTTTGCTAAAAGGGCTTGCCAAAGTGGCTGCCTGATACCACAGATCAGAAGAGTTACTTTTTTAGATTACAATTCCTCAACTTTCCAAGGCAGCAGCAGGATTCCAGGAGCCAGCCATTCTAGCTGGCGGATGCTGGGAGCGTCAGTCCCCAAAACCTCAACTCTTCCAAACTCAGAAAAATGGAGGCTCAGATAGAAGCTATCACTGTCCATAGCCAATGTGGTTACCTTCTACTTAGCAAATCAGAATAAGGAGACCGGCTTTCTAAATATGTAGGTCAGTGGACTTGTAATACATACTTCTCCGCATAAATTTAAAAAGCCATTGCAATATAATATGTGTACCACAGCTTATACTACAGGGGGAAAAAGTTTGCTGTAACCACTTACATATTGCAAACTAGTTTTAATGTACTTTTTACATTTTTGGAATTAATATTTTCATTTATTTCCTTGTATTTTTAGAAGCCCCTGAAGAAGGAACAGTATTTTCAAAATGCGATGGGTATAACCATAATTCAGGCACTTGTGAGAACTCCTTCTCTCAGTATTTCTGGTTTGCTATCAAGTCCTGTCCCTTTTTGCTCGTTTTATCCCTTCACTCGGAAGGAAAAGTCATCCTTCTGTTCTCCTCAGTAATCCATCAAAACCTGCTTACTGGCTACTGTGATGGTCAGATCTTGCTTTTTTTCTCCCGCTTTGTTCACAGCATGGCAGGTATACAATCCAGCATCCTTTTCTCCAATGCTAGTGAAGACGAGGTCCTGAGCTTCCTGGCGGACCCTGCCAGTGGTGGGGATCTGAGCATTGTTCCGCTCCCACCAGATGTGAGGTTCAGGAACCCCTCGAGGGGCCACGCAGGTCACGCGGTGCTCTTTGTTGGCTATGAAAGTCTTTGGCTCGAATGGGTGGGGGAAATCTTCAATTTCTGGAAGGGAAAAAAGCCCAAAGGTGCCGCTTAGACTGTTGCAACGTAGAGTGAGTGAGCTCTGGGGTCTGTTCACATTGTGGCCACAGGGCACCAAAACATGTATGAATCTCTGACTACATCTTTATGACAGATACTTAATCAAGCAAGCCTTCCCTCCATCCACTCTCTGAATTTTTGTTTCTTATGTTTCTTCCATCTTGGATCATTGTGTTTTTTTTTTTAGTAATATATTGTCATTTTAAACTGTAAATTGTTATATGTCACGTTGTTACCCGCCCGGAGTAGTCTATATGACTGGATGGGTGGGCTATAAATGTAATAAATTAATAAAATAAATTAATTAATATACAGTAAAGGTAAAGGTTCCCCTTGACAATTTTTGTCCAGTCGTGTTCGACTCTAGGGGGCAGTGCTCATCCCCGTTTCCAAGCCATAGAGCCAGCGTTTGTCCAAAGACAATCTTCCGTGGTCACATGGCCAGTGCGACTTAGACACGGAACGCTGTTACCTTCCCACCGAGATGGTACCTATTTCTCTACTCGCATTTTTACATGCTTTCG